CGCTGATATTGGAAATGCTGCTCACAAAAAGGTTCATTGTTCCAGTTTGTTGGAACGTGTTCATTTCATTGAACACTGAGTTGTTTGGAGCGTTGTATAGTTGCCTGACTGTACTATTCGTTGAAGACTGAGCAAAGCGTGTCCTCCAGTGACACATAGCTGACACATAAATGCAGGTCACGCATTTAGTAAAGCACGACTGTGGAAAATATACGGGTCGCATTTTCCTGAAATTGTCCAAAGCTGACGTGTGTAAATGTTGTTGCAGAAGGACTTTCCTCTCTTTTTCACGGTTTTCCTCCACGTGTCCACTTTCAGGAGCTCATTGCACTCGGTCTGTGTAACTTCATCAGCTCCTTCTTCCAAACGTTTGCCGTCACCTGCTCCATGTCGAGGAGTCTGGTCCAGGAGAGCACAGGAGGCAAAACACAGGTGACACACACGAGCTGCAGGAGTGATTACACTATCTAAATTGGTGCTGTAAAGCTGTTGTTAGAGTGAGAGGTGTGTTGATGGAGTTATTGCTTTTTTATGTGTGTGCTTTAGATTGCAGGGCTCCTGGCGTCGCTGCTGGTGCTGGTGGTGGTGGTAGCCGTCGGCTTTGTCTTCGAGCCGCTCCCTCAGGTGAGTTCCTGTTTGATGTTTGGGCGTGACCTGTGAGCCTGCACACACCTAAATGTCGTCTTTGGCTCTCGTTTGCTTGTGTTTCTCAGACTGCGCTGGCTGCCATCATCATGGTCAACCTCATAGGGATGTTCAAGCAGTTCAGAGACATTCCCAGTCTGTGGAGGACCAGCAAGATTGAACTGGTCAGTCTTTAAAACCAAGCTTAGCTGACTTAAAGTGCACCGTTACTCTGAGAGGTGTGTATGTGAACCCGAGTGAATACACAGTGGAGAAGCTGAGCTTGCAGACAGAAGTGTGACTATAATGTGCAGGACATAAATGCACGTCGTCTGAAGACATTTGCTTATGTAAAAACTGCTTTGGTCTTGCAAAACGCTTCCTCTTCATGCTAGTTTCATGTTACTTTCTTTTTTGTCCTCTCAGGCCATCTGGGTGATCGCCTTTATCGCTTCTGTGCTGCTGGGACTGGACTACGGCCTCCTGGTGGCCGTCACATTCGCCATATTGACAGTCATATACAGGACACAGAGGTAATGATTCGAATATGTGTTTTTCCTTGAACTGAAGCTTAAAGGCAGCTGTGAATTTTCAAAGAGCAGGTTTGATTTGTGCTCTGAGCCGTTTTCTTTCTCCTCCAGCCCTAAAACTTCCATCCTGGGTCACGTCGCTAACACGGGGCTCTACTGTGACGTCGACGAGTATGAAGAGGTAAATGTGTGAGGAGAGAAACCTGCCCCGTGTGAAACATCCACACTGACCAAGCCTGCTGTTTGTGTTCTCAGGCGGCTGAATATGAGGGGATTAAGATCTTCCACTCCAACTCTTCAATCTACTTTGCTAACAGTGACCTGTATGTGAACAGCCTCAAGGAGAAGGTAGCAGTGTGTTTGAGTGTGTGGAAGCAAACAGAAACCCTTTTGTGGGGGAAATGTGTGAAGCACTTATCATCACTGGGTCTTACCTGACTCGGTCTGAGAGGAGCAGCGTGAGCGTGTAATCATCTGGTGGTAGATGCGAGCAGAGCTCTACTTTGAGATGAGCAGGAATCCGTTTGCTTGTGTTTTCACTGTCTTGGCTACAAATGAAGGTTTGCAGTTGTAGCCTGTTCACGTTACAGCTGAAGCTTCAACAGTTCAGTGAAAACGTTTCTACGTTTGTCATTTCTGCTTTTTTATGTGTTCAAATAACTAAGAGCAAAGAATACATTTTAACTTTACTGTGTGAATTAAAGGTTTATCCAGTATCTAAGCACCGTGTGGGAAATATTCCCAGCCTCTCCCAGTCTTAACCTAAGGAGAAACTGTGCCAGCTTTACCAGCAACACCTGATTCCTAGGGATCAGTCTCTGTTGCTACTGTGGTGGCATGTTGAGTCCTTAAAGGGGAAAAGAGTCCCGTTGTAAGACCATGGACTGAGCTCAGTGTTTACGAGTCGCAGCCATGCCTGATCGCCTCAATAACACAAAGAGACGCTACAAGAGCTCAAAAAGCAACACGGTGCCACGACCAGCTGCAAAGGGTAACAGGGTCATTACGTTACTGCTTCAGAGCTTGGACAGTTGATGGAACTATGAATTCTGGGTAATTACGTTTTCACATAGGTGCAGGTTTGGATAGCTTGTGTTGGTTAAACAATGAAATCACACGTTGAAAACTGCATTTTGCTTTTACTCAGGTTATCTTTGTGCAAGATTAACGTTTGTTTTGTGACAAATCAGGTGAAGCACAGATGTTACTGAAAGCAGTTGGTCATGTGCTTCATGCTTATTGTGTTAAAGTTTAAAAGTAAAGACGTCGACATGTGTTTGTTTTGTAAACATTGTTTCAGTTCTCATTTTTGTTTTTCATATTCAATTCAGCTTTATTTATACAGCACCAAATCACAACAACAGTCGCCTCAAGGTGCTTTATATTGTACAGTAGACCCTACAGTAATACAGAGAAAACCCAACAATCACATGACCCCCTATGAGCAGCACTTTGGCGACAGTGGGAAGGAAAAACTCCCTTTTAACAGGAAGAAACCTCCAGCAGAACCAGGCTCAGGGAGGGGCGGGGCCATCTGCTGTGATTGGTTGGGGTGAGAGAAGGAAGACAGGATAAAGACATGAGATTAATAACAAGTGTATTATGTAATGTAATATGAATAATTCTCAGAGAAAATGGCAAAATAAGACGTGAGGTAATGGTAGAGGTAAACGAGTGAGGGAGAGTTAACAGCTCTGCTGTGATTATGTTGATCTTTACAGACGGGGCTAAACCCTGAACACTTACAAGCTGCTCGGAAAGCCCAAAAAAAAAGAAAGGAGAAGACGAACAGCAATCGGTCGTCTCCGCTGAAAATCTGTGCCAAGGTGGGTCACTGTTTGTCTTTTGTCCATCCAAACTTTGAGCTTTGTCAACAGGTTAAATACGCACTCATGTGACAGTCGTGTGTGTGTGTGTGTGTGTGTGTGTATATAATATGTTTTGTGGTGCTGCTTTGTTTCTAGTACAAGGATGAGACGGTGACTCATGACGTTTTGTCCCAGAGCCACGTGGCGGAGGATCAGAAGAACGGCCAGTTTGGCGACAGACATGGCGACTCAGAGGAGGCGGTCTTCCTTGAGCCTTTCAGCACAGTCCACTCCATCATCCTGGACTGGACGTCTGCAACTTTCATCGACTCAGTGGGAGCTAAAGCCATCAGACAGGTTCTGGCCCTTTCTCCAGCGCTGCACTGCACAGGAGCACCAGCTGCATATTTTCACTGAACTCCAGTCACTGTTTCATGGTGTAGAGCTCAAATACTAAAAACTATTATCTCTTTGTGCAGGTCATTAAAGAGTATGCTGCCGTAGATGTCCGGGTGGTCATAGCTGGCTGCAACAGTAAGTGACTATTAAGACTTTTCATTAGATCTGAAAATATCTGTGCACATGCTCTGTTTTATACGCACTACGTACAAAACGCAATTAAAACCCATCCATCCATCTATCCTATCTTTACAAATTGCTGTGGGGACTATTTGTGGACCATGAACTGTTCATGAAACCAGTTAGAGGACTGGTGCTTCGTTACACATCGTCCTGCAGGAGTTGGTACACTGTGGTCAGAAAGGCATGGACGTGGAAATATCCCTCACACTGTAGCACCACTGATTCAGTGCAGGAGGAATCCATGCTGTTATGATGTTTGTACCAAAGCCTGCTACAGAAAGCCTGTGCATACTGCAACCTCAGGTTTCTGTTTGTAGCTGGGCGATGTGGCGCCCTGTGGTCTGATGCTGCTTTCCAACACGAGGTGCATTCAGAGAAGCTCTTTGGTGGTAACACGTGGTTATTTGAGTCACTCTTACCTTCCTGTCACGCTCGACACATCTTCTCCCAGAGAACTGCTGCTCGCCTGTTACGTTCTCTTGTTCAGACCGTCCTCTGTAAACCTCGGAGATGATTGTGTTGGAAAGTCCCGGGAACTTCTAAAGCACACCTGATATCTAGTCATGCCATGTTCATTCTGATGCTCGCCTTGAACTCCAGCTGATGTCTGCATTGAGCTTCTGTCATGTGATTGGCTGATTTCGATGTTTGCATGAATGAGAACATAAGGTCTGTAAGTGGAGACCTATAATAAAGACAAGTTCCACACACTGGGGTCATAATGTAAAGGATGGAAACAGGCAACAAGCGCTATGACAGAACTCTGAAAGTTTTGGTTTGAATGATTAAGCCTGTGGGTCCTGACAGACCTGTGCAAACACAGCCTGTGGTTCACAGACTGAAGCCATTCCTGCAGTAACAAACAGGACGCTCCTGTTCTGCACATTTGGGATTGAAAATGAGAAGATATCATTTGGAACCAAATGGTAAACATGATGTCACACGATATATTTACAGTTCACTTTCAGTATATTGGCTCACGAGCGCGCAGGATGTTTTCAGAGTGGCAGCTAGCCAGAAGAAGGCAGGGATGAAGCTGCAGCGGCTCGTTTCACACTGTAACAAAGCTGCTGTCCAAGAAGTGAACACAGCAGGTTGCTTTAGTTGCTTTGTGTGCCCTGTAAATGGAACAAAGGTATCACTGCAGGAATGTCAGTGTCTGCACAGAACGTTTATTAGCCCCGCTGCAGTGAGTCTTTCCTTCACTAAAGTCTGTTTGTGTTCAAATGGTTTGAAAGTGGTTGTTGTCATTGATGTAAATACTGAGCCTGCTGCATGCTTCTCTGCAGGAAACCTGCTGGCTGAACTGGACACCTTGAAGTTCTTCACTAAGGACCTGACCACAGACTTCCTGTTCCCCACCGTCCACGACGCCGTGCTCCACTGTCAGCACTCAAACTCTCACCCGTCTGTGGCTGCGGTCAGCGACACGACCTGAGGATGGGACGTAACTGAGAACAAGTCACAGGAATGGGACGTGGTGGCGCTCTCACAACCTCACTGTGAACTTGTTGTCAGCTGAAATATCAGGAGTGTTTTTCAGTCTTGTTAAAGTTCCAAAGCAGCAAGAACATCGTTTTAATCAGAACCTTCAGGATGTGGCGTCCAGCCTGATTCCTCTGCAGTGTTGACACTGCACTTTAGTCATGTTGTAGTTCTCACTGTTTGCTGAAGTACTTTTTAAAGCTGCAGCTTTGTCTACATGATGTTAGCAGGTACTGTTGGAGGCCTTGTTGTAAACATGTAATACTGACCACCTCATTATCACGCTGGTACCAAATTGTTACCTATAATCTGTCAATATGATTTTTGTTATCCTGATCTGGAATGACCTTTCCAGTCTGTTTGCAGTGTCATGTTGCTGTTACTGTACACTTGCATTGGTATGACTCATATATGAATGCAGTGGACAGCTTTAATTGTGCTGTTAGTGAACGACACAGGAGGCCTTTCAAGCTCCCTGTGCTTATTTTGTTAAACACTGAAACTGAAATCTGGAATAACTTTTATTTTTTAGTGAACAACAATAACAACAAAACAAAATCCTTTTGACTCTTTTTTTTTTTTTGACAAAGCCAAATCAGACACAAGCACACACTCAGTTGTAGGTCATGTATCTGGGAGTGGCGCTGAACTTGGCGTATGATTTGATGACCTTGTTAACGGCTTCCAGGAAATCTTTCTCTGTGGCGATCTTCCTGCGGGCCCTGATGGCAAACATTCCTGCCTCGGTGCACACGCTGCGGATCTCGGCACCTGAAAGGAAGCACGATTTAAGAGAATGCTCAGACTTTCAGAGAGCTACTAAACCTGTAGACGACCTTTATCCCACGCTGTCAAGCCGTTCAAAACAGTTTGACTTGGCTGAAATACAGGATCGTGTTAAAGGACAGCCAAGACTCAGACTCTCATCTACTTTAACATAACATACTTCCAAGTTTATAAAGGGCAATAAGAAACCTTTCCAAGTAACAGGTTGCCCCCGTGTGGTCATACATCAGTACTACACTAAGAGGTCTGAACTCTTCTAAACTAACAAGAAGTCGATAAACAAATTGGAAAAATACTGGAAGTTTAGTGCAGCGGTCCCCAAGTTTTCATTTCTCTGACAATATTTTCACAGACCGGCCTTTATGATGTCGCAGATCAGTAAAACAAAATAAAACCAGTACTGGTACCAAACACCCAGGGAAACCAAACATTTCACACCCAAGCCTCAACTCTTACGGCTCGGTACCGGTCCGTGATTTGGGGACCGCTGGTTTAGTGTCTCTATGACAACGGCATTCTGAAGGAAAGGACAGCTGATGTATGCCACACCCACACGAGCAGGAAACACTAAAACAGATAAAGACGCAGCTGAGGGAGACTGACTCGACAGGAAGTAACGTCTGCTCTGCAGTCTTACCGGTGCTGTTGGGACAGAGGCGAGCCAGCAGCTCAAAGCGGATGTCTCTCTCCACACTCATAGAGCGGGCATGGATCTTGAAGATGTGGGTGCGACCCTGCAACGGCGGGTTTAAAGATGGTTGAATTGGACAGAGCTACATCAGAGAAGTGTAACACAGTCCAGTTTGAAACTCACCTCAAGGTCAGGCAGGCTGAACTCGATCTTCCTATCCAGACGTCCGGGCCTCATCAGGGCCGGGTCCAGCGTGTCCGGCCTGTTGGTGGCCATCAGCACTTTGATGTTGCCTCGAGGGTCGAAACCATCCAGCTGATTGATGAGCTCCAGCATGGTCCTTTGGACCTCGTTGTCTCCACCGGCGCCGTCATCAAAACGAGCACCTGGCAGGTTCAGAGGGTTACACGCTCAGAATGGATTTCTCTTCACGCTGGATTAAAAGGGCTGCTGCACGTCAGTGGATGGTTTTTTTTTTAAGTAATGAGACTAACCTCCAATAGCATCAATTTCATCAAAGAAGATCAGACAGGCCTTTTTGGTCCTGGCCATCTCAAAGAGCTCACGCACCATCCTGGCGCCCTGTGAACGAGTTCAGGAAAAGTCAGACGTTTACGAGAATCAACCTTCCTGATCTGAACTGCAGCTAATCTTTCTTTTCGTGAGCGCACCTCTCCCACGTATTTCTGCACCAGCTCGGAGCCGATGACTCTGATGAAGCAGGCGTCTGTTCTGTTGGCCACAGCCCGGGCACACAGGGTCTTTCCGGTACCGGGGGGCCCGAATAGCAGCACACCTTTAGGAGGCTCGATTCCCAGATTGACAAACCTCTCAGGCTGGTGAGAAGAAAAAGACGACAAGTGAGCTCCCATGTGCAGAAGACAGTTGCTTCACTCGTGCCTCAGTGGTGGTTCTAACTTTGGAACACTCACATGGAGCAGCGGAGTTTCAACCACCTCTCTTAGCTTCTCAATCTGCTCCTTGCATCCACCAACATCACTGTAGGTCACATCAGGCTTCTCTTCCACCTAAAGCAAGTGGGCCAAGGAGTTATCACATGCAAGCAGACAGATAACCAAACACAAAGTATCCTCGCCTCCCAACCTGCATCATGGTGACAGTGGGGTCGATTTTCGGAGGCAGAGGAATGTGGATCTGATACTTGTTTCTGTCAACCCTGGAAAAACAGAAAGGACACCAAACTTAGCTTGCGGCTGCCGGAACCTTCTGCAAACTATGTAACACCTCTAAATCATGTTTCTGCCTCACCCCACTCTCATGCCCTCCTCGATGTCAGTTGGAGCCACCTGGTCACTCAGGTCCACCACAAACTTGGCAAACTGTTTGACGTTGATGATGTATTTGGGATCCTCAGAGTCTGCATTGATGATCTTTGTGCATCTTTCAGAAAGAAATAAAGAATCATGAAGCTACATAATGGAAATGCTGTGGAAGGAAGTAGGAAAGCTAAGAATATTCACGTCAGATTAACAGGAATGTCGCTCGAAACATCCCAAAGGGAAGATCAGCGATATAACACCACACTTTACATTTTGGTGATGTTAAAGTCGAACATTTACCTTGCTACCTGCAGCGGCTGCTCGCTCTGCAGTGTCTGCTTGTCAGCAGCTAGATCCCAGAGAGCCGGTGGAGCCAGGCCTGTGTCAGACTCCTTGATGCCTGTGCAATTAAAAAAAACTAATCAGACACAAAGCATCTCGTGCAGCCCTCCAAAGTACCAAAACCGTCCATATATACTCCTCTGATAAAGCTGGACAACCGTTCCAAATTTAAGATGATCCATTTTCAACAACAATGCAGCCCTTTGCATTTTTTGGAGTTAAAGTCAACTAGACGTGCCTTTTTAAAATCTACACTGGCCCCATAGCTGTGGGTTGTGGTAGAAAAGGTGATCTCTCTTTGTGTGTTAAACTAGCCCAGAGTACAGGCTGGCACTGGGTGGCTGGGAAAGGCCAGCTAGACAGCTGCATCTGAAGTGACAGGCCGTGCAAGCACCAAATAATTAAATCAAGGAGTGAAAATACACGAGATTTAACTGGCACCTAATGAAACTTAAATGTCCAAATGTATTTGTGCAACAGTGTTATTGAGTCCTGTGCATGTTGCAGGATAATCAGTTAATATGCACAGGACCATGCAGCTGCAGTTATCATTGTGTCTGTAACTTGGGACGCACAATTTGCTAAACTTGCTGATTTTGTATCGTTTCTGGATGCAACAAAATTCATTCAGGATCAGGCTTTTTAGTTCAGAAGCCTTTTCTGATCTGCGTCTCCTGCTGGAATCAACGAGCGACCTTCCACTTGTCAGCCTAATGTGTAAACCACTTCTATGGAGCTACCAAATACTTCCTGTACTACTGTTGGTTGTTAGAAATGAAACTGAGAATATCTGAATACATTTATAAGTTGTAATGGTGAATTCCAAGTAAAGAAAATCTAAGAAAGCCGGAGTAAAACCCCTGATTTTGACCCAGGACTTGAAATCTGGTCAGACACAAGTGGCCTCCTAAGCTGGAACTTTTGAAGGTTTAGAAAGTTAGTTCGGCAAATGAGCTTTTCAAATAAATGCCGTTTTATTGCTTATGTCCGGTTTAATCACCAAGTCCAGTAAGAAGCTTACTGAGAACATCTTACTGCCCTGCTGTGGCACACATGTACTTCTGAATTCGTCGCTCACCCGTCAGCTCGTTTATCTTCTTGAGCAGCTGCTGAATGTCATCTTCCACTTGTTTGATCTGCCTGGAATAGGTACTCTGACCCTGGTGGTGAACAGCAAGCAACACATTCACTCACCGTGGAATCATTTCCTTGACACTTGCTTGGTGTCGTGGTTTGAAAGCCATACTTACATATGTTTTGAGCAGAGCGATGTCGCCTTCATCCAAAGCTTTAAAAAAGAATCACAATCACATGAATGCGTTTGCACTCCGACACTGTTGTCGGACTGAGCGATGCAGTATACACAAGACTTTTTATTCCACCATCAACACATATTTATAACAACATGTAACAAATACATTCAGCAGGAGCAAACTGTTTTCAACGAGCTAAGCTAACATTAGCAATGTTGCTAGCTGATATCGACGCTTCCTTTCGGGAAATAATATCTTAGGGTTTAAAATAAACGATTTTAGATATACCTCTAATAGGGGAGTCACCCTTCTCCTCCTCCTTAATCTTCCTTTGGTCGTCTCCCAGATAGTCCGGCATGTCTAACGTGTGAACAAACTGTCCGGTCACGAACAATCAGGACTGCTAAACTCTACAATTACACAGCAGCTTTGGACTTCCGCCGCTATGCGCAACTTACCGGAACACACAAGCGGGGATTGTAGTGAGGATGTACCAGCTTTACGGGTTTAAAAAATATAACATTATCATGTTGTTCTGTTGGGGGCTACAGAAATCTTGTGCGTATCATTTTTACATCCTAATTATTAGAGAAACTGTGTGACATGTTTAGCTAGCGGGGCCAGGTTTTAATCTACAGATAAATACCAAAACAAAAACGGCGGAACTACAAGTGACGAGGCGCGATGAGACACCCGGAGGTTTTAGCGGTGTGACAGCAGAGCTCGTTCTCGGATTGGCAGTGGCAAAAGGAGGCCCATGTGGTAGAGAGCGGGCCACAGACTGTAGCACTTTCTAAAGGTCTCACTTGATCATTCGGGCATCTGAATGTTCGCGTAACCTGCTTTGAAAATGCTGCTGGAAGCGTTGGATGGGGACGAAACGGTTGTCTACAGAGCAGCTGCCGGTAAGCACTGAAGGAGGTCAGAGGGAGGCAGCTAGTTGAGCAGGCACTCTTACACACTGACTGCTGCTCTGCGTGTTAGCATGCAGCTAAACAGAGCACACAGCAGGCTAACATTGCCGGCTAATTTGAAGCTCGGTAAAGTCTCTGCGTTTGTATTAGTTAGCCGTGTTGTGTCTCGGGTTATCCAAACGGCGTTTGTCGCCGGGTTCACTCGCTGCCGCCAGAGCGTCTCACCAGCTTCACCGGTTAGTTGGCTTCTACTTATAATTATTATTATTAATGACAGACTAGTTTGGAATTTCACAGCCTTTCACGTGGAGCAGTACCTGGCTGTTACGTAAGCGCTGAACGACTGTGACAGGCGTGAAGGTGGACACACGCAGCGCTCCCTGTTACTGACTGACGGCCGTTAAACTGTGACGGTGTCGCCGCACAGCGTGTCACATGTCGGTGCTGCTCGGTGAGGGCTGATTCATCTCCAGTAATAATGCATTTTATACTTTTGTAGCTTTAAAATGACAAAGCAAGAGAGAGGCGACATGTTCAGTCAGTCACTGGGAGCGCTTCCTTTGGGACCTCTCAGCTGTGGGAGTTCTTGTTTGGAGGATCCTGAGTTCGCAGTGAGACTTTCCACCATGTTTGGGGCAGTGATGGTTGTGACACTCGCACTGTGCTTGCAGCTCTGCTTCAGTTCTTCAATAACCATAAGACTGTTCCCACGTCAAGCATATGACCCTGTCCTGTGTTCTCTGCATCGGCTCCATTTTTGCACTGATGATCAGCTGCATTCATGTATATACCAATCTGCTCAGCACTTTTTATTTTATGTTTAAGTGTTTGTCTTACAGCATGTTTCACACCAAGTACCGCAGCAATTTCCTAATGTTGTAAACCTGCTCAACATTGGCAGTAAAACCCTTTCTGAGCATAGTCTGCTTAGTCTCTCTGAAGCTCTTTGCTGCCAAACAGCCTCTTAGTTTCCCAGCCGTCAATCATAGACTGTACATAAAAGACAGCCATAGCTGCCAGAGCCCTCCACCTTGGAGTCTTTCTAATGTAAAGCTTGGAAAAGCTGCAAACGCTTTAGCCCTAACATGCTAATTAACGCCTGAGGCTTTGCCAAAAATCTCTTGGCAGTGTTCAAGGTTAAGATAAGTAATGATTCGAAGTACTGAAACACTTAGTTTTACAGTGTCGTGGTAACAAAAAAGGGAGCAAAGATGCTTCATTTACCAAAATGTCTCTTCCTCCTCACAGCCTCTGCACAGGTTCAGGTGGAGCCCGTGGGTCGATGGTTCGAGGCCTACATAAGGAGGAGAAACAGAAATGTGTCGTCTTCCTTCCAGGAGCTGGAGGAAGAGGAGGAGTCCTCAGAAGAGTCTGCAGATGAAGAGTTTCAGCTGGAGGAGTACTCCATGCTCCGAAAACTTGATCCTAAAGACTGGAAGGTATGTGACAATACATCTCAGCTGTTTGCAAAGAGATCCCTGCTTTCACATCGGTACTAAACGGTTCTTCTGTCTTAGAAGACAAAAAAATATGGATGAAACATTTTTACTGAAATGTAACAAAAACTGAAATCATCAAAGTTCTGCTGTTTATTAAAACATGATGGGGAGTTTGTTCAGCTGACCTGAGGGCATGCTCTGTAAGCAAAGTAGAATGTGTTGGGAATTTCAGAGTGAGGTTCCTGACCCTCTCCACTTCCCTGTGATGTGTTTACAGTCTGGAAAAACTATTCAGTTGAACCGGTGATGGTGCGTGTTTTGCAGCACAGCCAGTTTTCCAAAGCCTTCGATACTCACTGTCTGTGGACGCTTATCTTTGGCCGTGTGTGTGTGTTTGATGGATGCACTGACACGCTGCACAGACGTGCTTTAATGATGCCTGAGTCGATGATAATTCACGTTAGCAACCGCTGCTTTGTTTTTCGTGGTGTGTTTGAATCAGTTAACGGTGTTGTGCTTTCCAAACAGAGGAAAATAATCCAGTTTGATGGATGAACTCTTTACTTTCTGCTGTTTCAGGGCTTTGGGTTTGTTGCACACCAGGCACATGCAGCACGTCATCAGGCCCCGTCAGGGCGTACTGGACTTGCTTTTGCCTCGTTCTCTCAGCGGAGCGTGCATTTCCAGTGTCGTTCATTTAATTGTCTGAGATTAAAATGTGGTTCATCGTGAAGTCCTTTGAGTCATGTTTCTGAAACACACAATTATCCATTTCAAGCTTTTCTGGTTGTGCTTCTCAGTCTGACCTGACGTTTCAGTGGTTACGGTGCCGTGTGCTTACAGCGCAGTAGTGCATCTAATCTGTGAGTCACAGAACATTAGTTTAAAGATCTCATGGTGAGGTGTCCACACCTGTGCCAGATCCTGCAGTCAGTGCCACTAAGACTTCGATTCACTGCATTAAGATGAGGCTGAAAAACCCAATCACAGGTGAGTTCTGAAATGCCTCGCAAACTTAAACGGTTTTGGTTCATCGCTACAAACGACAGTGAGCACTTCCTGTAGTGAAATGTATTCCACGTTAAAAATAAAGCGTTAGTTACAAGTAGACGGATACATGTGAAGGCGAGTTTTTTCTTTTGACTTTAGAGTTTATCTGGAACGAAAAGGCCGCATGTGGATTGTAGAAGACGGTGCAGATGTAATGTTTTAAAGTAAACCCATATTTACTGTACGGTGTTGGGACTAAGTGATTATTTGAAGCGGTGATCTGATAACAGGTGTAGCTGTTGGTGCTAACAGAGTCAGGGGAACAGGAACCCTGAGGGACTCCAAAGAGCTGCAATAATGTCGTTGAGCGTTACTGTCATGTGACACAGCATACTCTCCTGTAACCTGTCAGAATCAAGATCACTATGCTGTGCTTGGGCTCCCACACCTGAGGTACAAGGCGACACAGAAACAGATCAAAGCTGCCCGTGAGTATGTTCCCACCTACACGCGTGTTTCATGTCTCTGGTTTGTTCTAATGACGCAGTTTGATCCCAAGTCTCTGCCGTTTATCTGCAGACAAATCGATTGTGCTGAAGCACCATCCCGACAAAAGGAAAGCTGCAGGGGAGCAGATCGTGGAAGGAGACAATGACTACTTCACCTGCATCACCAAAGGTACGCAGTGCTGCAACTAATCGTCAACACAGACATGGTTTCTGGAATCTGCTGAACTAACTGACCCACCTGTTGAACCTCAGCTGTGGAAATCTTGTCCGACCCCGTGAAGAGGAGAGCCTTCGACAGTGTAGATCCTACCTTCGACAATTCTGTGCCTTCCAAGAGTGAAGGGAAAGAGAACTTTTTTGAGGGATTTGCTCCCGTTTTTGAGAGAAATGCCAGATGGTCTTCCAAGAAACATGTGCCCAAACTTGGAACCGCGGAGTCCTCTTTTGAAGAAGTGGATAATTTTTACTCTTTTTGGTAAGTGGAAGAGTGAGAGATGCTCCTTTGAATGAAAAACGAGACAAACACAGGGTAAAGGTTCATTCTTTTCTCTTTGGTTAAAGGTACAACTTTGACTCCTGGAGGGAATTTTCATACTTGGACGAAGAGGAAAAGGAGAAGGCTGAATGGTAAGCTCCCGTCTGCCCTGATGAAGCAGGTGTTAGCCCTCTGTCGTCTAACGCGTCAACTCTCCCCCCGTGTAGTCGTGATGAGAGGAGATGGATTGAAAAGCAGAACCGAGCTTCGAGGGCTCAAAGGAAGAAGGAGGAGATGAACAGAATACGAACACTAGTTGGTACAGTCACACACTTCATTAGCAACACAAAGCCCTGAAGTATTGAGCAAATAGCTCCTGCACGTACAGAGATGGTCTGTAAAAAGAGGCTGCAGTGTGACTCATCGTCTGTCATGCTTCACTGCAGATACTGCCTACGGCTGCGACCCTAGAATAAAGAAATTCAAAGAAGAAGAAAAATCCAGGAAGGAGTCTGAGAAGAAAGCCAAAGCTGAGGCCAAGAAGAGAGAGCAGGAAGAGAAGGAGAGGGTAGGTGTCACTCACGGCGGGGAAGGTCGATTGGCCTAAAGGTGCGACTGTTACGTCCAACGGTAAAGCTAGCAGCATAGAATCATCTCATTGGGTTGGTGCTGTTAGCTGCGACGTTCGTGTTACATTAGCTGCTCCTCTAGTTAAACAAGGTGATTAAAACAATCCATGCTGAGTTTATTCCTGCCAGTGCAGACGTGACAAAGGGAAAATAAATCAATAAATGAAGGAGGGTTACTGCAGGACAAATGTTCACACAGCTTCCTGTCCTGGTTCAGGCGCTGTAATTCCTCCATCCTCTCTGTGACCTGGATCCCAAAGGAGCAGCTTAACCTGGAGCTGTTATGAAATTTAAAGAGTGGATAGTGTTCGCTTCTGTTTACCAGAATCTGAGCAGTGGACAGTATTGGACAGTTTGGTCTTCTTATTGTCATGTTTGGACAAAAACACCACTCAGTGCTTCACACTGTGGGTAATACACATATTTCCAGTCAAAGAAGCTTCTTAAAGCTGCTCAGTTCATGCTGTGAGAAGATGCTGAGCTTCAGTTGGTCACAGGCTCAGGTTCTGCGTGTCTGACAGGCCCGGCGGGCGGAGCTGGAGGCAGCTCGGCTGGCAAAGGAGAAGGAGGAAGAGGAAGCCAAGCAGGCCGCCCAGCAGGCCAAGAAAGAGAAGGAGATCCAGAAGAAGGCCATCAAGAAGGAGAGGCAGAAACTCAGGACCATGTGCAAGGTAAGCACCTACAGTGTCAGACGTGTTTGTGTGCTGCTGCTGCTTGGTGCATTTTCACTATCTGATGCTGTTCCTCTCCACAGAACTGGAACTACTTTGCAGACAACGAGGCTGACAGTGTGAAAATGATGGAGGAAGTGGAGAAACTCTGTGACCGCCTGGAACTAACAAGGTACGAGTCAGTTTTAGC